AGCAGGGGGGGTCGGTTAATTAGTTGAGAAATACAAATACCCACGTAGGTGTTGAGTTGGCGGACAAAGCTGGAGAAGTTGTTGTGCTTGAAATGGCGAGGGAGGACAGCCCTTGAGAACTCAACGGAATCCCACACGACGAAGCTCTCGCCGGAAGGACCCCAGGAGATGATGGGGTCCAGGGACGGGTCGTCGACGAGGTCGTAGGTCTTGGAAAGGAAGGGAGGGATGGGGGTCGAATGAAGGGCTTCCAGGGGCTCGAGGAACGCGCGGGCTGCTGCGGGACTGTGCCTCACGGCCGCTCGATCTCGCTCCAGCGGGACGTGGCGGCGGCAGGCTCACTGTAGGGAGGGAAACCCATGATCCAAAAACTGCGGTTATTATCGGATCAGCCAATGCGGCTGACAGATGCCCGGCCGCCGCGAGACGATGGAATGATGATCGATGATGAAACGAGGAAAGGGCGATACTCATCTCCGGACCCATCCCGTTTTTTTTTTTGGCTCTGTCACTTAAAAAAGCGCAGATGAGAGAGGGGAAGAAGCAGGGGAGGCGCGGCTAACGCTGGCGAGGGGAGACGGACTCGGGGCGGTTGAAACGAGAGGGGATTCGCTGATATTTATATCTGGGAGGGAGTAACCGACATGCTGTAGACTAAAAAGGAAAGCAGAAAATATCCCCGGGACTGGAGATCATCTACACCGCTCAATGTACCGCACGCTTACCTATCAGTCCAATCGGGTGCTGACACGGCCACAACACTAATATTCTAGATTTTTCTTTACATTTTTTTTCCTCCCCTGGTGCTCACGGTACTCACATGGACTCAGTTTCGCTCTTATTTATTTATTTATTTTATTTGCGCATTTTTTAAATCCAAAAGAAAAAAAAATGAGGGCCCTTAGCCGCGAAGGCATTAAAAAGAGAAGGCGATTGGAAGCAGCCGCGTGGCGTGTGAAGGAGAGGAGAGGCTGCCAACAACAGCACACCCAACGGCAATAACGAACCTCAGCATCTCATGATCCTTTTAATTTATTCATCTCCTCTTTCTTTGACGGATAATAAAAAGACAAGCCCGACAAAAAAATCTGACACGTAACTGATTATCCAATCATGTTATATACACACTACTTATGTATGTATGTATACTTAATAATAATAAATCGTTACAGAGTTTATTTCCGACATATATAAGAAGCATGTCGCCAACGGACTCCTAGAATTCGAGGAGAGTAAAAGCGTATCACGGTCACCAGCAACAACGACTGCAACGTACAACTAACTAATATACGTACAATATAGCTATATCTGAACTAGCTGACCCTACGCTACGCACACCAAATAAACACGCTCTCCATCAGGTTAATCAACGCTAGCAACCAACAAACATCAACTATTTGGTTTCTCTCTAAAATCATGATTCTGAAATCTGACGAACTGTCCCCAACCCTTCTCGTACAGCCTACCGGCGATCTCCATAGTAGGCAGAATACGACCGTATCTACATTTGGGGAACATGGACACGGTTTTGGTATTGTTGACGAATATCTTCATTCAACAATACCATTTTTATGCGTTTCGGGGTCAGTTTAGAAATTCTGAACGAGTTTTCAGAGCAGTTTTATTTTTGGGTGAAGAAATGTTTAGTACTTAGCCCATCCCATCCAAGTTGGCCCATCTCCAATTGCATTGTTATGGTGGACGCTCCACTTATCCTAGATATTCCCTCGACCTTTGTTCCGTTTGTCGGCCCCCCTACGCACAAGGTCTTGTTTATTTGCCTTATAAAGCCCAAGCCTACGGCTTACTTTATTACAAGGGAGAAAAAAAAAATGGTGGAACAAGGGAAAAAAGAAAGAGCGCTGAGGTCGTGGGTGTTCTCAGCGGGCAACAGCGGTGAGCACTGAAATCCTTCCGTGTTGGAATTAGAATTGGGTCATATTAAATAAACAGAGGGGGGGAAGAAGATGATGGTGAAACCCCTTTTGCAGATGCTCGTGAGAATCGCAACGATCAAAATCGAACGGCCCTAAATAGACAGACAGACAGACAGACAGACAGGCGGACAGATGAATCCTCCCTATTTAAATATACGATGATATAAGGAGAGGAAGAAAATTTTACAATGATACTACAGCAGCAGCAGCAGCAGCTTACATTACAGGTGTCGAGCTGAGAGATGAGGCCTACATATTTAGTCTGCTCCTTCCCTTATTCGGTATAATGTCCTTTTCCACTTTTCCTTTTTTTTTATTAGCTTATAATTAAATAAACATTACAATTAACTCAATTAAAAACTGATTATATTAGTCAGCATAGCTTCCGGTTTCCTACCTGACACCCTCTCATCTAAAATCTAAAAGCAAGCGCAACACAAGACCAAAGGCCCACCCCCCAAAACAAAAACAAAAAACAAAAACAAAAAAAAAACAGGGTGAAATTTATTAGGAAAAGAAGGGACAGGCGTGGGTCGCTCTGCTCCGACGGCAGCAGCCAAGTGTTATTAGTCCATGGCGCCTGATCGTCTTCGCGATGGTGATGCTAATTGTGTCCACGGAAAAGGCGGCGGCCGTGCGTCCAAATTGGCGAAAATCATTGAAGTCATCTCCACCATCCCTCCTCCCGCCTCCTTCCTCACCGTGGAATCAAAAACAAAAGCCCCCATGGCGGCTGATGCAGGGCTAAAACTGGCTGTGGAGAGGGGCGGCATCATTAATGGAGGGACCAACAACAGTAGTGCTAGTCTCGTTATAGGTCCTATCCCAAGGGATGATGACGTTGCCATGGTAGACTACTACGACGACGATGACCTGATCTCGCCCCTACCAGGGGATGCTCCTCGCGAACATCAGAACAGCTCCGAAGGCGAATGCGATAGGAAGGAAGATGAAAGGAAGGGTAACGGTGAAATATCAGGGAGGGAGGAGGAGGAGGAGGAAATGAATCCATATCAAGGCGAATGCTGCAAGGGGGGGTCAACGTCGTCAGCCCGGAAGGAGAATAATAATAACAATAATAACGATGATGAGGGTAGCAAGGAGGGGTATCTGGATCTTCTCCTTGAAGCGGTTCAACACGAATTACCTGTTGATCAGGATGAGGAGGAGGAGGAGCAAGAAGTTCGGAGGAGGTTTAGTACAGGATTACCTGATAAAGGAAAGAGTGTGCATCGGTCTTGCGTGGTCGCAGAGTTGCATTTGTACAGCGAGGAGTCGGCGGCACCTGTGGCAAGATCTAAACGGGGGATCAGGAAACAGACACTGCCCTCCAGGTATCGGGACTCAGTTCTTCAACCCTGGGCGAAGCCCCCCACCCTCCACCGCCATCGCTAGCTAGCTACACGTGCCCCCCTCTCTCCCTCTAACCTCTAGGTAACCTCCGTCAGTACAACAATTCAACAGCAGCGAGCACCTGCATCAGCCAGCTCCTCCTTTTCTATCGTGCCCCCTCTCCAGTTCTCTCTTCACCCTCTTTTGATTTTAATGTTTTCATCATCCCAATTACAAAAGTAATGCCTTGGCTAATGATCTTATAATTTTAGTTTATATTTATCCCAGGTTTACTGCTGCAATCTTTTTCTTATTTCATCATCGTTGTATATTACTAGCAGTGAACATGTATGTCGTACTATAATCAATGTCAAGCTTCTCCTAACTATAAATAAAGCAGAGTTGAATAAATTCTTTCTTTCTGATGAACGCGTACGCTGTTCTTTAGACTTTAGCAGACACTCCTGATCATTTTAAATGTTACTGCTCGTCTTCTCTGAACCTGGGCGCAACATTCCACCTCATGGGTTTTGAAGTATATATACACACACACGCATTATGTATGTATACATGTGTATGGATGTGTTGTGTGTGTGTGTACACATACATATACATATGTATGTATGTGTGCGTGCGCGAACATGTATATATGAATGGAGTGAATCATCAATTAGAATAGCTTAATTCATAAATCAAGAGGCGCTACCTTAGATTGAATCTAATGTGTCACCTTATGAACATTTTTCCATATATATATATATATATATATATATATATATATATATATATATATATGTGTGTGTGTGTGTGTGTGATATATATAT